AGAGGGTGATGGCATGCTAGGGTTAGGGGAAGGTTGAGAGAGAAGAGAGGAGGAAGGGATTTCAAGGGGTGGAAGGATTTGGGAAATGATTAGGTTTACAAGGGTTAGGGATTAATTAAAAAAGGAAATAGATCCTGGACCGTTGATCTTCTGAGATCAACGGCCAGGATTCCATCCGGGTTGGGGCAGGTAATAGGAAATTGGGTTATGGGTTATGATTTAATTGGACTGGGATAATAATTTGGGCCAGATCCGAAAAGAAATCAAATTAAAAGAGGCTATTTAACACCAATTAAATTGATGAAATAATTTATGAAAATAGCTAATAAATGACAAAAAATAATATTTATGCAAAACATGATTCAAAATAATTACTTAATATTGTAAAAATATAAAAGGTCATTTTCTTGTAGAAATAAAGCAATTATGCACATATGGCTATTATTGCAAAGTCATTGCAATTATAGCCTACAGATGTAAAGAGGGTTATGCATAAGATAATTAAAGTTTAATATAAATATAAACGATAAAATTAAGCAATAAAATTATGATAAAACCATTTATGATGCAATTAATAATTATTTATATAATAAAAGTACGGGATAACTTAATTAAAAATCCTTAAAAATGCAAAAATTACGGAAAAATATTAATTGATGCTTATGTATTGTTTTGGAGATATATATGCATTTTAAAAATAATATAGGGAAAAATTGGGTATCAACAGCTAATGTAACCAACGAAACTCCATTCCGGAGTCGTCTTCGCACAATTCCAACTACGGCCAAAATCTTAGAACTTAAACTTCCATTTTAGGGATTAAGTATCTCATTTCACTTTAAAACTAAAAATAAATTCTCTCGGCAAGTCACATAAGTATAAAATGAAACAGAGGAAGCAATAGATAAGGGTCGGGGCTAATACTCTCAAAACGACCGGCCGGGTCGTTACGATCCAAAAACTACAAGAATTTCATTAAAATTTGATCTTACAAGAGAGATTTCCACCGCTTCATCAAACGCATACACATTCTGGTATTTTTTCCATTATTAGAACCTAATCCTTGTTAGTTCGCTACAGTTCCTTACCTACTATTAAGAGAATTAATTGACATTATTAGGGACATTTGACAATTTTATTTCTCTTTGCTTCTTTCAAATCCATTTCTTATGCATTTGCAAGGGTCTCATATGTAGTGGCTAGGTAAAACATAATAGAGTTACTCAATGTAATTGAGTTTACTGTGCGGATAAATTTTTTTTCATCTTTTATACAAGCAAGATTAATGGGTCTATTTTTTTATTTTTTTTGAAAAGAATATGAAATTAAATTTCTTGTGCAAAATCATGGGTAAATGAATCTCTTTATATATATCTGGCCCAACTAGTTTGGTATTGAGGCTTAATTACCTAGTATGTTACTATATATGCATTTTGAAAGCTTTAGGATTTCAATAAATTATTTAAAAAATAATAACTTGAAAGCATAAAATATTCCTGAAGAAATCCATCATAAGTCACTCAAAAAGAGTTAAAAACATGAACCAACGTATATTTGGGTTGTATACATATAGATTAAACTAAACCTGCATCATCTTGGTCCATGACATTAGCTTCATTCTCAGATGATGTCCAGCCAGACTGTTGGGATTATTCTTACTGGAAGAAGCCACATCACTCAATGCACTACGTATAGCTTCTGCATGTACTGCATCATGGATCCTTCCTTCACATGCCGAAAAGCTCACAAGGCTTTTGACAAAAGGAAGTCTAAACATGTTAGTTAGAAACCTAGTGTATTGTGTTTTCTTAGTTTTTGATAATTGGTGCATGCATAGTGAACATTTATTTATTTTTATTTTTTTAATTTTGTGATTGTTCAGATAATCTGCACAGTGGACGCAGAGAATGTTCCAAGACTTGAGGAGAAAAAGATGAACATGGCCTTTGAAGAAATCAAGGACATGGAAGAAATTTCATTAGTTGGGTTTGATGAACAAGATTCTAAGAAATATGGGTATTTACTCATTGATGAAGATCAGAAACGGGTAACTGCCTTAACTATCTTTTGATTATAGTTTAAGATATTTGCAAGTTGTTTTGACATAGATTTGAAGTTAAAACCAACAACAACAAATAACGTGGTAAGCTTGTAAATTTCAGGAGCTTTGGCTCTTAAGATAACTTATCAAAATTTCATTTTTGGATTTGAATAACCTCAAATGTATTAAATTTTGTGGAAAAAGTGCTCATTATATTTTAAATTTCGTCTTTTCATAATCATAGTTTAGAGAAAGGTGAGAAATAATAACATTAGTTGGTAGTCTCTGGGTTTGTTGCACTTATAAAAGGGAACTATAATTTTTTTTTTTAAAGTTTGTGCGTTGCTAGGTATTTGCCTTCATATAACTTAATGTTTTCAAAACCAACTTCTACTAAAATATTTCATATAAATTGATAGGGTTGAACATCTATGTGGTATAAACTAACTACATGTAATCATTTATGGAGTCGGATTGATAATATGAAAAGATAACTTACATTCTACAAGAATTTAAAATACAATGATACTGTTAATTAAAATAAAAATGTACACAACCAACATATATATGTGTGTGTGTCATGTATAAAAAATATACATACAGGTTTGGAGCTCAAATCAGAGGCAATGCCATATTGCCATTCGCATTCACTTCCTTTTAATCTTTTGAGGAAAAGAAACGTTTTTAGTATTGAGAGTGGCCCTTCAATTTAAATGGAGAAAATGGTGGTGTAAAGATCGGCACTAAAATATGTGATTTTGTCAAAATTAGTGGGTACAGAAACAAACGTATGTGTAGGCAAACACAACCCACCATCCAAAAGGTTAAAAAAATAACAATCAATCATAAAAAAGTTAAAAAAATTAAAGGGATATTTAAGCAGATCAGAAATATGTTTGGCAAGGTTTTGATTCAGCGCGGAGAGAGTCGTAACACGTATTTTGTTAGTTGAGCGCACGTCACGAGTTCATACTTCGTCAAAAATATAAAGCTTGATATTTAAGTTAAGAAAAGTAAATAGACGGATCTGTTATGCACAGAATTTTCAATATTACAAGTCTCATTCTTGCCCTTAATAGAATCCATAAGCAGGAAGTTGGCCTTAGTGATCCGATGGTGCCGAGTAGAAGGGCCGTCATACCCTCGACCGCACTCCCACCCTCGACCGCTCTCCCATAAACCTGAACTGATTGAGAGAGATGAACCCGCAACACATTTTTTCTATTTGGAACCCCCAATAAGGTGACCTTTGGACATTTCTCGCATTTCCAAGTTATTTAAGCAAATAAAAAATAGGTATAATATTAAGCATTAGGTGAAAAATGAATAAAATGATGTAAGCAGCAAATAAAAAAAAGGCAAATTATTCCATTCCTTTTTCTTCTTTATATGTCTTGTAAACTCTTCCTTTCACCAACTCAAGTGGGGAATGATGAATTAAAGGAGACAAATACCAAATCTTTTGGATCACTCAATCACATAATATGTGACATGTTTGCTAATATAACGGAGGAACACATCAATTATTTGACAATAAAAATTAACTTCAAAACATGATATAATTCTAAATTAGCATCAAAATGTTGGTCTTAATTGTTTCTACAATAGACCAACCTGGATTTGAGCTACTTAAGTGAGCTTAGATCGTTATCGGCTATGCCACAATCTTAAACTAGTTAGGATTGATATATGAGTTCATTGTTAATCTAATAGATTAAAATACGTGATTATTAACCTATTAGGACTTTCCTCCTTTATCTAAAGTAGGGGTGTACATAGGTCGGGTTGGTTCGGATTTTACAATTACCAAACCAAACCAATTGTGTCGGATTATTAAATCTAAAGACCAAACCAAACCAATAAAACTCGGGTTTTTCACTCTCGATTTTTCTCGGGTTTTCGAGTTATTCGGGGGTTTTCGGGTTTTTTTCCGGTAAAATCTTCGTAGAACAAAATATATAAATTATGCTCAAAATATTTCTTTAGTCCTAGTAGGATACAACTATATAAAGTATTTTCCAAGAAAATAATACAAAATATGAGATATATCATGGCATTATCCTAAAATATTCAACAATAAAATTAATGTAATATAAATATTGCTAATTAAAAATCCATAATAAAAATAAACATAATCTAAGAGTACTAAGTCATGCTAAAATAAGTAGACTAATAAGGGAGTATTAAATACATGACTAAACGCTAAAGAAAAAATAAAAATAGGTTATGCATTTTTTCTAAATTATTGCAAAACAAAAAATAGATATTCAATACATTCTCGTTCATAGTATTGAATTAAATTTCTTTTGTTAGCATTAGTATTGATTTGATTTTGGTTTGGGCTTTTGTTAGCACTATTTAATTTACTAATGTTAATGGATATAAAACTTATTGGAACATTCAAAAGTTCTAAGTCCAACGTTGAAAAAATACCTCAAAAAATAAAATTATGAAATTTTTTGAGAAATATTTATAAATTACATCACAATAAGTATATTTATATATTAAATATATCTAAAATTTCTATATATGTAATGTCGGGTTGATTTGGTTTCGGTTTGACTTTCTTTAGTTAAAACCAAACCAAACCAATTATGGTCGGGTTTTTCCCCAACACCAAACCAAATCAAACCAACACATAGTCGGGTTTTTTTTCTTGGTTTGACTTGGATTATCGGGTTGGTGCTGTTTATCGGTTTCCTTTGTACACCCCTAATCTAAAGTAAAAGAGGAAACTCGGTGCACGAAGTATCCTGCATTCACACAGAGTCGGAAAAAAAGCCGCACCCCAAGGGGTATAATGTAAGCAACTTACCGTGATGCAAGTATTAGTGACTGATTTAACGGATTGAACCCGTGACCTGTAGGTCACACGGACCGGTTATATTTTACCAAAGCTCATATAAGTGGAGTTAGATTGCATAATGGGGTAAGGCAAAATATTCTTAATGTTTAATACTTCACATAAAGGAGTGACAATCACTATATATATGTCATGAAAAGTATAGGGATTTTGAGTATTCACACAACACTCATCTCAGTTACAACTTCTGTTTCAAGAATCAGGTTTTCTTAGTACAACATGCGATTTTGCGCTGTTCTTGGTATATCATTTTTGACAACTGCGTCTCAGTCCCAAATGAGTTGGGATATCATTTTAGTACACAAATTAATAATAATGACTCCACTATATTCGATTTCAAGGGGATTAATGACCCTCACTAACGAAAGAATCTCAGCTCTCCAATGGCACAGCAGAATCGACCTTCACCCGATTTAATCTAACAGTTCCAAGAATGTATTCAGGGAGTTCAGCCTCTTCTTTTGCCTGCAAATGTATGTATAACATGGTCATGTGCAAGTGACATGAATTGTTAGAGAATAACAAATGCAACTGTACTATTTACGGATATAAAACCAGGATGTCGAGAACTTGTTCATTATTAACATGAAATGTGTCCTGCACAGGCATTCACTTAACATAGCAGCTTCAGAATATTTCACTTTTCTTTTTACCGTTTGTTCTATTATTTGGCTTGATAGTGAATGATTGAGTTGATTCACGACCCATTTCTAGTATTATTAGGTAATATACGATTATCGTGTTTTAGGTTTGGAAGTATTTTAAACTTCAATGGTGGAGAGGGTAGAGGCGTACTCAGGATTTGAAGGTCGCGGGTGCACTTTTTGATTCAACCAAAATTTACCTATATATAGGGTGCCCGCTATTAATATATCACTATTTTCTAAAGATATATACATGTATACATGAGATTTTTACCGAACTATACGGGTGCCGGTGTCCCCTCTACCTATTGCATTGGTATGCCTCTGGGAGAGGGAAACAACAAAATCACTATGTCCTGTGCATTGTTAAGAGACAGAGAGAGAGAGAGACGGAGGGAGGGAGGGAGCATTAATCAAGCTACACATAAGTGCCAGAAACAACATGCGAAATGGTATATCATTTCATAAAGTTGTCATTCTAAACTTTCTTTTTTGGTTTCCCACCCAGTTTTTAGTGCCCCTCTGTAGTCCGACTAATCCGGATACGCGCCGGAAAATCTGATTTTGGGGGACAAAGCGCCTCCTACCAAAGGCGACTCCATTATAGGACTCGAAGTCCAGTGGCGAAGCCAAGAATTTTCCCAAGGGTGTTCAAACTTGAAAGAAGTGAAAAATTCTCCAACAAAGGGTGTTCAATATATGTTATATACCTCTAAAACCTAATATTTAACCTATATACACAATGTCAATTGACCACCCTTAGGATAGTATAGTTTCCCCCTGGCTCGAACCCGAGACCCTTGGTTAATGATGGAGGGGTACTTACCTTTGGTGGTTCATTCTGAACTACTTGAAGATTAGACGGTTTTACTCCTATCGAGCCAAGTTCCTTCTTTGGTAAGAACTGATCAGATGGAACATAATCTCAAGGAGAAGAATGACATACCTCTATTAAAATAGCAAGATCAACGACAAGGCTTGTCACATATCCCAGTACAAGACCAATGACACCTCTTGCCACAGATGATGAACCGATGTCCACATCAATCTGCATGCGTGAAGTTCCATTTGAGGATTAAATCAGTGAAGGAAGCATATGTATTGAAGAAAGCCACTTGAGCTCACTAATTCAGCAAAGCCATGCAAGCAAAAAAAGCCCGGGCGCAGGAGAAATATTTTCTTCCTTTATCTATAATATTTATCTCAAAGAAACTTTTTTTTTAAGTTATATCTAAGTCAAGAAAATGAACTTGGAACCTAACCTCCAGAAAGTTATCTTGTCTAA